TTTTTAACAAATTGCATATACTAAGATGAGAGTTGAATGATACTTTTCTTTCCTTTTCTTTTTTTCATATACTCAACATGAGAGTTGAATGATATGTAATGTAACGTAAATTTTTGTGTGCAGCAGTACAAATCATTAGTTGATCGATCCGTAATATATTTTTTAACAAAAATGTATACTTAATCATATTTTGAAATGTCATAATTTATTTATGTTGTTTTTAAACGTGACATTTGAGTTTGGAATTATACACATGCATAATGCATTAAAACAATAACTAGTGCGTGCCCCATGCGATGCACGAGAAAACAATATTACGATTGTATTATAAATTAAATATATAAATAACATTAATCATGATTTATCCATTGTTTTTAAATTAAACCGGGTTAGACACAATCTGACCAGATGGACCGAGAACCAATTTATAACCAGCCTAGTTCGCTTGAATAAAATATTTGTTCTCGAATCCGTCAACACCAGTCGGTTGGACTGGTAGGATCGATACGATTTTCTAAATAAATTTTGTTATATTTAAAGTTATTTTATATAAAATTATATATTTAAATAAAATAGAGATTTATAAATTATTTATCAATTAGTTTAAACATTTGAATTTATTAACTGTTTAAACATCTAAGTAACACATTTTATTTAAATTTATTACAAAAAGTATTATATCTATATATATATATATATTAAAATATTGATAAATTAAAATCTGAACAAACCACAAATTAAAATCATTTAGACATCTAAATGATTTATAAATTAAAAGTACTATATATATATATATTCAGTTTTATATACAAAAAAATAAATCCGAATTTGGATATATGGGATTGTATGATCGGAGAATAAACAAATTCCTTTATTTTAGGATATATTCGATTTCAATTTGTATTTCAAATTAGATTCCTAATTTGTAGGCCTAGACAACTGACAAGCTTCAACATGAACAAATTTGAGGTTTAATTCCTTTTCTTTTCTTTTCTTTTCTTTTCTTTTTTTCCGCCTTAATATGAAAGAAAAAAAAAGGAAAGTAAAATCTTTTAATTCGCAAGGGAAACTAGAAAATTGACTATAGTGAATAAATAGGACTACAAGAGTTTTTGCTAAAGCCTGTAGATTCTCCACTTCATATGGGACCTTTTTCAGATTTATACCCAACTTTCTTGAAATATGTGATGAATAATCTTAATTTTATCGTTTCTTTTCTATTTCCTTATATTTTAGCGGATAGGAACAATTGGCAAATCTTCACATCGCCATTGCAAACTTTCAAACTTCCAAATGATTGATCATCTTAATTTTATCGTTTCTTTTCTATTTCCTTATATTTTAGCGGTACGGATTTGTTAAAATTTACAAATAATTCAAAAATTCAATTCATCAAAGGACTCTAATACAAGTGAAAATGTCACGAGCCATTTTCATGCGAAACTATCAACAGGCATTACGGACAAAATTATTTCAACAACAAATAATAAGTACTAGTACTAACATTTATGTTGTTATGTCCGTCTAACAGTGAATTGCCTAATAATAACATTTTTACATTAAAATTTTTGGAAGGGATCACTTGTATATTCTCCACCATTGTCCGTTTCTATGACCTTAATCTTACTTCCTGACTGATTCTCAATTTGTGTCTTTCAAGTATTGAATACACCAAATACTTCATCCTTCATCTCCATAGTGTACACTCAAATACGTCTGAAAAAATTATCGATAAAAATGACAAAATAGCATTTTCTGTCCAATGATTGGGTATTATAAGCTCCCTAAACATCTGAATGAACATAATTCAGGACACATTCGGTATTATGGATAGATGTTACAAAATTCACTCACCTCTACTTTCCTAGAACACAATCTCACAAAATTCTAATTTGCACAATTTGACATCTTTCAGCAGTCTTTGCTTTGCCATTGTCTCCAAGGATTTTTCACCACCATGTCCCTACAGCATATATAGCACAACTTGACCACTTCAGGCTCCTTGTTGGTGGAATCTGCTATTGTTGTTATCCCAACAACCGTATCACCTTCATAATAATAAAAGTTATTCCTCTTGATGTCTTTCATCACCACGATAGGCCGGACGTGGCTTTCATAACTCCATCTTGCAATGTCAGTACCAAGCCTTTGGATTACAAGACTCTTAGTGAGATGAGACTTTTCTGCAACCTTGACACATACCGAACATCCATCCAAGCGGATTGATAGTGATTCTTCAAACGGATTGAACCTATCAAGTTTGTCTTACAAGCATTGTTATTATTTTTTTTCATATACATAATCCCTCCATTGATCTCCCGAAAATTGAAGAACTTCTCCTTTACGGGAGACATGATAGATGCATCTAGAATCCAAAATTCATTCTTCTGGATGATGATAAAGGTAAAATCACAAGTGAAAATTTAGAGTCTTCACTTCCACCATCGACAACATATACATTTTGAGGAGATTTGCTTCTTCTGTTTTTTTCAATTTCGAACAATCTATCTTCTAGTGTTCTTTCTCATGGCAGAAATCACACTTGTCTTTGTCAAGCTTGACCTTGTAGGGGCGTAGCCAGGAAAAAAATTCACCCTGTGCTAATTCAAATACAAAAAGTATTATTTGAGATGTGGGATGACGGTTAGGCCTATAAACAAGCTGAGTCGGGCTCGACTCGTTAACTAAACGATCTTGAAATCGAGCTCGAGCTCGGCTTATCACCAATAACGGGCCGAGTTCTAGACTTAACGAGTCGATCTCGAACTTTAACGAGCCGAAATATAAAAAAATTATATAAAAATTCTCTTTTTGGGCCTTATCGAGTCGAGTTGAGTCGAGCTCAGCTCATTTATCAAACGAGCCGAACTCGAGCCTTCGTGAGCCGAGCCAAGTCAAACTCGTTTAATTTAACAGCACTAATGACGGTTAGATAGACCGATTCATCATATACTTTTTAAAGTTAAAACATATATTTTAATATGAAATGTCATACTTTTACTATTTTTTTATATATTTAGATGCAACTATAAAAATACATAAATTTGTTAATAATAATGTAATGTGCACTAATAATTAGGCCTTCAACCTAGCTCAACATAATCGATAACGTTTATATATATATATATATATATATATATATATATATATATATATATGGGCTGGTTCAAATAAAAACTAGTCTTGGTGTGAGAAGCGTGAGAACCATATTTGATGCTATTTTTAATTGTTTATGATGCTATTTTTAATATTAGATGATGCTATCATTTTCGCAAATGCTAATATAAATTGTGTGGCATTTTTTAATAGAATTCATCCTGGTTAAAAATAGCACCAAACACAATCAATCATAGCACTACGCACAATTAAAAATAGCGGTTCTCACGATTCTCACGCTAGAATTTGGTTCTCATTTGAACTAAGTATCGAAACTTAAAATTATATTACAATAAATTTTTTAATCTCATGGGTAATAGAGATTCTATAGTGACACACATTTTAATTATGAAAGAATATCACATTTTTATCAATTATTTACATGTTTCTCAAAGTAAAATATCTTATAGTTATGTTAGATCACCAAACAATAAGTTCACACAAAAAGACTAAATTAGTGTTACCAATAACCACTAATGATATTACATTAATTTTTTGTTAGAGACTTTTTTCAAATAATTAATATATATATATATATATATTTATATTCATGAGCTTAAATTAAAATATGCATACAATACAAGTTAAAATAAATTTAACATGGGCTGTTAGTACTTTACTAAAAAATAATTTTTCCTTAAGCATGATATCCTAATAGATAGAGTGGAGAAAATGACCCTGGGTGGAAGCCCCACCTAGCCACTAGCTGGCTACGCGCCCTGTGACCTTGGAACGTGATCTTCCTTGTCTATTATTCTTTTTGCTCTTCGATCGAGCTCTTGCAACCAACACTTCATCTTCTGTTGTTGCATTCTTTATCTCTTATTTGTTATTCTTCCTCAACTCATAGTTATAAAGAGCATAACTGACCATCGCAAAAGTTATATCGTCCTTTCTATGGAGTAGAGTAGTCTCCAAGTACTCGAACTCTTTCAATGATAAAAACATCAAAGACAAATCTTCCTCAATGAATGTGAAGTCCAAGTTCAAAAACTTGCAATCATCTGATTGAATGCAGTGGCGCGGTCATTCATCGATGTTTCATGTCGTTACTCAATTCGTAATTATCGCTTCTTCTTCATGTTTCATGGCGTTACTCAATTCGTAATTATCGCTTCTTCTTGAGAATGTTACTCTGGCAACTCTTCTTCATAAACTTGTCCTCCAAAGCCTTCCACATGGTGTGGGTAGAGTTTCAATTCTTTAATGCATACTTCTACTCTCAGGACAAACACGAGCGGACTGTTCCACATGCTAAACAGTTGGTATTCTTCCAGTACTTCTCGTCAATATCGCCTGGTTTCTCTTCTTCAATGGAAATGTCGGCTCCTTGTAAAAGAGACAATCCAGTAATTCGTCTTGCCACATGCTCAATGACTGGTCCCATCGAAGATCTCTACATGAAGTCTGACATTCGACATCATCATCCTTGCCGGAAAGAATGCAAATGATCATGCGCGCTTGATCTTTTTGGTTATGTCGAACTCGAATGCAATATTCGCCTCAATAAACGAGCCTAGGACGAATCTTCGGCTATGATACCACTTGTTGGGGGTATCACTACAAGTGCAATGAAAAAAAAATACCCCACAACAATAATAACAAGTACTACTACTAATGAATATAACTCAACACAAATAAATAAAAAACGAGAAATGAAAAGAAAAAACAAAATTGATAATGGAGTTCAGTCAATATTGCTTACATCTCCATGACCGCCAACTACAACACCAAACACTAAACTCACCAACAATATACGACTAAGATTAAACAGCCCAAAAATTAGGACTTCCTTTATTACGAATTTACTTTTAAAATAAAAGAGAAGATAATAAGATGGAATTGTAACTCAAACACAATGGACCTTTTATACTAAAAAGACCTCACATTTTTTGTATACATCCAATGTGGGACAAACATTATGTCAAAATCTAACACTATAACTATAGTCCTTATGGAACGATGTATTCTAGAATAAAGTTATTAACGAAACAACCGTCTTGTGAGCTCGTCTTGACTCATTTTGGCTCAAGCTTGGTTGTAAATGAGCAGCTCTAAAACTTGTTTACAACTAGTGTAGTTAATGCTCAAAAATAAAATCTATATTGTAATTTTATTATCTATCGATTTTTTTATGTATGAATTTAGCTTTTTAATTATACCTTTCCCCTTCTTCTGGCGAAAAAAACCTTCCCCCAAATCCTATCGTCGCGGCCTTCGATTTCTGGTAGAATCGCCTTCCTCGGTGACGACGAAGCCACGGCTAGGGGGCGTCCTTGACCACTTAGCCCTTCCATGACGAAGCGCGCCTCAGATATCATTGTAGATGGTCCGTGATTGAAGGTCTCGTCTGTGGTTACTGAAGGGGATCGGGATGGTGGTGGCGTCCCTCAAGGTCAGCGTTTAGACTGCGAGTGGGGTGTTCTCCTCAATCGTCGGTGTAGCTCCGATGTGCGGTGGTAAACCTCTTAATCCTATCCTTGTCAGTGATTGTTGGGAACTGCTTTTTCCGGCGGGGCTTCACCTCTTTTGGTGGGGCCTGGGCCTCAGGTCATCGGAGGTCCATAGTGGTGTTGGGCGGTGCGTGAGTCATCGGGTAGGGCGGGACTCCGGTTACTGCGGCATTTTCTGTTGCAGCGATTGGGGTTAAGGGATCGAACCACCCTCACCCTCCCCTGTTTTGGCTAATGGTGTTAGGCGGCGGGGGACCGGTTCTCTCGAGCTTGGCTAGTGGTGTTTGATGGGTTAGGGTGGGGATGGTGTGGGGGCTGGACGTTTATCTCTCGGTTGGAGATGGGTCAATTCAGGATTGGTTCGGGGCTTGGTTTTAACTATTGTATAGGCGTTTTGCAGTTTCCGTAGTGACTTCTCGGGCTTGGAATCTTTCTTGTGTCGATCGTTCACTGTTGGTTGGGCCTGTTCGTTTGCTGGGGAAGGGCTATGTGTGTTTTTTAGTTTTTTTGTGTTGTTCTTGTTTTGTGTCGTATATGTTTGTGTTTGTGTTTGTAATTGTGTTTTAGGTCGTTGGTCTCGGTAGGCCCGAGTGAAACCTTATTATCATGTTGGGATCTTTCGCTCGGGCATTACCCTGTTGGAGTCGTTCTTTTTCTTCTTTTTCTTCTTTCTCCTCTTGGGAGCTTTTAGTGTCGTTGTGTTTTATTTGTGTTTCTAGAGTATTTCCCTATTGGGGTCGGTTCTAGGCGGTTTTCAGACTTGTCCTCTCAGTTTACTCAGTTGTTAGTTGTCTGTATTCAACTAGTGGTTGTACTTTTGCACATTTGTGCGCTTTTATATAATACTTCTATCATTTCGAAAAAAAACGAAATTAGCTTTTTAAGCCTGTAGCCGAGCTGAAGCAAGTTTATTAGCTCATTTAGTTAACTTTAGTTTATGAATTGAGTTAAACTCGGCTGGATATAAGGCTGGAACCCGAACTCCTTATAGGAGTCTTGAGCTCAAAACGTATACAGGCCTACTCTAGAGGTAAAACACAATTAATAAAAATCAAGACAATTAAAATTCAATTACCTTTTCTTTTGGTCAATTTTTTGTATTGAATTTCAACAATCCAGAGAGAAACAGGAGAGCTCCACAACACACCCCCCAATATACATTCTCCCGATCCCCGTTGACCATCTTCTCCTCAAGCCAGAGCCTGCTGTCCAACCCGCTCCGTGTCCTGAACATGAACACCGCGTGACCCGACCCGGACCCGTTGAACCACCCGTGCACATCCCACATCAAGTCCACCAGCAGCCCGTCCACGAATATCGTCTGATTTCCCCTAAAATTCCATCGCAGCCTCTTCACCCTCATCACCGCCTTCCGGTCGATCCACACCGTCAGCCCCGGCTGCTCCTCCCCCACCCCTCCGCACTGGATCCGTACCTCGTGGGCCGGGCCGGACTCCCGGAACCGGGTCCTCGCAGCGTAGACCGACCCCCCCGTGAAATGCTCCTGCCGGGAGACCAGGCACCACTCCGCGGGCCGGGTCCCCGGCCGGAGCTTCCTGGACGCTGCCTCCCGGGCCAGGTCGCCGAGTGCCGGGCCGATCTCGGAGTCGACGGTGACGAGGACGTAGAAACCGTCGATGGGCTCGGGCCCGGCCTCATAGCGGGCCGCGGAGAGGTCCCAGTGGACCTCGATGGCGAAACCGTGGAGGTCGATGGACCTGGCGCCTTTGAGCTTCCGGAAGAGGCGGGAGTGGGTGGTGAGCTTGAGGGCGGCGGCGTGGTCGCCGTCGAAGGTGAGGGTGAGGCCCTGGGAGAGGGGGCTCCGGCACCAGGCCAGGCTAACGAGGATCTGCTTCTGGGAGGAGAGAGACAGCCGGTAGGAGCAGACGACGGCGGTCGGGGCGGAGGGGGAGAGGGTTGCGGCGGCGGCGGCGCCGGAGCACGAGGCGTCGGAGACCTGCACCGCGTGTTCGCTGAAGCACGACGCCAAATCTCTCATTTGCTTGTCTTACTGTGTGTGTGTGAGGAGAGATTAGCAGTTGTTTTGTTTGTGGAGAGAGAGAGGAAAGGAATAATGGAAATTTCATTCGGAGTAAAGGAAACTTTGGAGGTTTGGTTTTTCTTTTTATTATTTGCTTAATTGCTTTGACAGATCATTTCATGTGGGACTGAGATACGGAGAAGTATTTGTTTATCTAATTTAATTTAAAGTATTATGAGACAAAAAAATATGAAGTAATGTATGCGTGAGGAGATAGATGGACGGAATTAAATGAAATGAATACAGCAGTGTATTGACAAAACCAATTTTTTTTCGTCTTTATTTTATTTGAACTTGAATTGTTTGTTTAATATTTAAGACTACCAATGGTTGACTAGAATTGATTAGGTATATAAGAATGGCCCATTCTATGCAACCTATGAAGTTTCATTAATTAGTCAATACGCATGGTAATAGTTAGTAATAACGCATATAAATTTAGATGGCTATTTATGGTAATTTCAGACCTATGTATGACCAACAAACTAATTGTTTTATGTAAACCCAACAATGAACACAAACATTATTGTTAAGTTCAAAAACCGTTACACATTCATATAGTTTTACAAATAAAATATAACTAGTGCATATCCAGTGCGCTTAGACGTGTCCAAATGGGACCCGGCCCAGCCTGGCGGGTCGCCGGGCCACCACACATGGGCCCAGAACCGGCTTAGATATATGTACGGACTGGTTCGATTGACTCGACGGTTAGCATTTTTGTAGGGATCAATATCTTCTCACCTATGACCAAAGTTTTCGGCTTGCTGCGTCGTCCGGCCTCTCCATTGCCTATAACCATAAGAAGACGACCTGAAAAGCAGTTGAAGAAAATAATGCCTCATTTTTCCCGAGGCTGATTGTTGTTTCCTTTAACAATTCATACAACAAAGTTTTACTTGTTCGACGAGCTGCAGTGGGTTAGGTCTTTCACTGATAGCTACATCAGTGGGAAGTGGAAGTTGATAAATAATATCATAATATATGTGAAGTTGGTGGAGCAACCCTTTTTCACATAATGACGAATCTAACAAAGATGCAACTAAAAATATATCGGGAATGAAAAAATTAATATTTTGACCATTTACTTAACATATCTATTACAAGTTCACCATATTTTTGTGGATCACTAATAAACTCTAAAACCCCCACATTACAACTAGACATTGACTTACAACAAGTTGAGCAGTAGGGTAGTGAACACCAGAAAGTATGTTAGTAGCATTCTGGAATGTTTCTAAAAATTTAATAAGTGTTTGACAACAATGCCAATCAGCAGCATAAACGTTCACATTACAATCATTCTTACGTTATTTTGCTTAAAAAATTCTTCTAAATTAAAACAATATGAGTTCGTTTTACTTAGTATTTTATAAGTTGAGTTCCAATTGGTAGAAAGGTCTGATTGGAATTTTTTAGCTTTCACACCTTGTTCTCTAGAATATAGCCACCATTGTTTCATTTCACTCGTACGACATTATAAATAAGTAACGGCATACCTAATGGGCGTGACTGTATCTTTCAATGAATGAAAACCCGCTTGAACACAAAGATTAAGGACATGACACATACACCGAATGTGAAAAAATCGTCCCCCACAAAGGGGACAACAGATTTCCTTAAGCTCGTGTATAGATGCAGTATTAACACTAGCATTATCAAAAGAAACTGAAAAAAGTTTTCTACCAATTCTATAACTATTCAAGACATGTGAAATTGAACGAGCGATATTAGAAGCAGTGCGAGTATCATTAAATCATGTATAAGCAATTAAACGTTTTTGTAATTTAAAACTACCATCTACCCAATGACAAGTAATTTCCATGTAAAAAATTATCTTGCCAATGGTCAGATCAAATGTCACAACAAATAGAAATTATTTGGTTTAGAGCTTCAAAAGTTTGCGCCAAAATTAATTTTCTCTCACCTCACCAGTTTTCGAATATCGCGAGTGAGAGTAGTACGTGAAACCCGAGACGCAGTCGGGTTTAAAGCCATTTGAGCAAAAATTTTATGTGAGTATTAGAATAACGTAGAAGACATACCTATTGATGTATGGATACTCGCGACGCTGAAAGGGGATTGCGTTTGGGTCGTGGTAGTCCCCATTTCGCTCGGATGATGACGTTGTATGTGCCGTGTCAGTGTTCCATATCCATCGTCGGTTTTGAAAGAGTACTTCTTCTTGGAGTTGGGTGGACAATGGCTGCAAATACATATAAATGTTTGTCACCTTTTTTCTCATTGGGGATCTTCATGAAGCGGCGTGCGAATATTTCAGAATTAGGATGTCCGTCACTGCTGCCGCCGTCGGTCGTTCCCGTCCTAGTCCGTTGAGATTGTTAACTTCCTTCACCTTGAGTAGGATCAGACTCGTATTTGTATGGATGCTTCTGGTTCTCCTCCTCCAATTGTATGCTCTCGTGGATTTGTTCAACAGAGTGAAAGAAGCGTTGGACCGTCTCAAGATCAATGTCATCGTTACAGCTCGGAATGTCCCGGACTAACGTTTGTCTCGGCGGCGGCAAGGGAGGTCTACTCGATGAAGATTCGCCTACGTTTTTATGCTTTTGTGGTGGCCGATCACCAGAACGACCACAACCACGACCACGAGAACTAGACATTTTATAACTAGAATAGATTTTATAAAATAAAAAATAGAGGTGAAAAATTATAGAATTAGAAAAGAGAGAGTATTATGTAAATAATTTATAAAATTGGAACCGAAATGAGAGTGAATATATAGAATCGGGAGAGTTCAGGACCAAATTTATATATAAGCGGACTGATTATAGAAAACCAAGCACAAAAACTAAACAATTAACATTTCAAGAACTTAGAAATGAGTAGAGAAGAGAGGTAGAAGTTGTTAGAGGT